AGTTCAAAAATATATTTTAAATAGAAAAAATAAATAACAAGACCGCAAAAAGTTAAATGATAGTGAATTTTTAAAGCATCAAAATGTAAATAAAAATTTTCGTAAATTTTTAGGATGCATAGTGCAAATAACTCATTACTTCGAGATTTCTGCATACACTACATTCTCGTTCTTTGATTGCAGCCATATCAATTATACTTATATAAGTCTCTCATAAAACAAAAGATGTTTCTATGAGAACGAATTTAAAACCTGTGCACCCAGATAGAAATATAACTAGGCGTCCCGTGTCGTCTTAAAACCTTCTTAGAGTCATTATAACCATGTTATTAAAAAGTTTATCATCAATATTGAGGACACATGCATAACATGTTGCACTCACCTCCATTAAAAGTGCAAAATAAGTTTTTCACAAATGAGCTCCAAAAAAAATTACTATTGAATCCTTCTGTCATATATAACATGTTGCACTCACCTCCATTAAAAGTGCAAAATAAGTTTTTCACAAATGAGCTCCAAAAAAATTACTATTGAATCCTTCTGTCATATTATGTGCAGTATCATGTATTTTGAGTTTCTAATATTTTCTTTATTCTATAATTATATCCACATATTCATCGAATTTAAGAAAATGACATGCTTCTACCATTCTATATATGTCACACTCCACGCTCCATTGTTTTACTTTACCTAATGAACTATAGGATTGACAACAACCGCATGAGAGCAATCATACTGCAAAGACAAAAAGCTCCAACTTATTCACCTCGCTCTTATGCTTAAACACGGATATGAGGAAGTAGGAAATGTGATGCATTTTTAAAAATGCATTTTTTCTTTCTTTTACATTAATTTACATATGCATTCCGTTCATCTAAGTAAGGTGTTCTTCTCGCCTAATGCTAATGGGGATGGCCAACATGATATCAGCATAAGATCAGACTAACAATGGATTTTAGGGAAGTATTTGTGGGTTCCAACTCTACACAAGAGAGTCGGAGGAAAATTTTACAGTGAACTGGTGGGAAAAAAATTCAAAGGCAAATTTCTAATTAGAAGGATAAGCAACTTTCACTTGCGGGGAGAACAACGTTAGTCCAATCAGTTACTTCCTTCATTCTGGTATACTCACACCTTGTTTGGTATATGGGAATGAGAAAGAACGGAATACAATTCCAAATTCTCATTCATGCTTACCAAACATAATGCATTTTTGGATGCTAGAAATGTCATTCTCATTTCTCATTAATTTTCGCTGAATGTGGAATTGCTATTTCCAATGAGTTATGAAGGAATTGATATTTCCATTTAAATAAGAATAAAAATAATAAAATAAATTTCGGATGTACCCTTCTTAAAACAATCCCACTTATTTTCTGAATGCACCCAAACATGAGAATGAGAATAAGTATTCCATTCCCATCAAATCCATCACATTCCGACCTTCATTCCATTCTCACTTGATTCTATTCCCGCATACCAACGAGGCGTCAATGCATACTGTTAAACTTTCAACCTCAATTTACAATGAGATTGATAAATTAAATAAGAATTTCCTTTGGAGAGATTCTATGGAGAAAATGTGAATTCACAATATAAAGTGGATCGAAGTGTGCAAACTAAAAATCTTTGGGGGTTGGGTATTAAACAATTAGTACGTTCAATGTCGCAATGTTTGCAAAGATTTGTTAGAGGATTTTTACAAGAGTCGAATAACTTGTAGGTAAAGATATTGTAAGACAAATATTTCCATCATTGTACTTTGCTGACTTGTAGTGCGAAAGCAAGGATTTCATACTGTTAATGTAGTGTTTATAGTTCCTTACAAATATCCAAACAAGAATTCGTGTGGAGAATATATGATGGAAAGCAAGTGACATTTTGGCTAGACACTTGGGGTTTTGGCTAGACACTTGCGCTAGGTCAAAGGCATTGATTTAAGAAGTAGACGAATAGTTTCTAGCACCGAATGTTGACTTGAAAGTCACTGGTTTTATGATGCCTTTAGGAGATTGGAATAGAGTAACAATTTTACATCAATTGCTGAAAATGTTTGCTGAAAAAAGTTTGCTGAAAAAAGTTTGATATCCTTGCTGAAGCATTTATACCAAAGGGATAAACTCATTTGGAAAGCTTCTCTTAATCGTAAGTTTAGCAGAAAATATTGCTATCAACACCAAATTTGCAAGGATGCTATTCAATGTGATTATTCCTTCATTTAGAAGTTGAAATGCCCAGCTAAGTGGCAAACTTTTATGTGGTTGTTGATATGGAATGAGTTGATGACTAATGACAATGGAGTTAAATAACGCCTGTCATTGATTGCTTCTTTGGATTTTACAAATTTTGCTAAAAGTGTTTCACTGCCCCCCCCCCCCCCCCGCCTTCTTAGACTTGGAAGGTGATAGAAAGTGAATGGAAAGTGTAGGGGTACCACGTTAGCTTTTTTACATATTTCACTTTGTCAAAAGAAGCTAGAAAGTGGATAGAAAAGGAGAGAGAAAATAATAATTTATTATTTTTACACCTTTTTCAATTTCTTTTGTTGCTTTTATTTTTATATTTTGATCTCCCTAGTCATACCTTTTGTCATTAATTTAGAATCTTTGTCCATCCCAATAATTCTTTCAAATGTTTCTCATGCGGATCAAATTTTTGCAATGAAAGCCAGTTCTTTAGTGGATATTATATCATCTCATTTTCATATAAAATTACAAACTAAAGCTTATAAGTTATAGTTAAATTTAATTGTAATGCTTGAATTTAATAACAAAACTTTCACATTTGAGATTTAATAATTGTTTTCACAACATGACACCAAACATATACTAAAGTAATACAATGTATAAAACACATTTATAAAAGTACAGGTTGTCATTTATAAAACTAAAATTAATTAACAAATTAACAAATAAAACTAAAATTAATTCAATGTAAAAACACAAAATTATAACTTAAGTACTACAGGTTGGCATAACTAAAGTTTCGCATTAAATACAGGTAGACATTTGTATTCTATCATTTAATTGCCAGGTTGTCATTTAGGGGCTGTTTGGTTCGCTATTATAAGGGGTGGAAAGCTCAGAAAACCCCTCCACGTCAGATTTTTAGCCCTCCACGTTAGCTTTTTTGTTTCCGTCCATTTCTTTGTGTCGCTTTGGTTCGCTCGAATGTAAGAGGGAAAACTCTGCTGAAATCGCCGCCAACTAAGATTTTTTCCCCTCTCCGATTTCCTTCCGCAACCAAGTAAAATTGATAAAAACTCTGCCTTTTCCTTCTCTGCTTTGTTTACAAAAGTTTTCCTTTTTTCTATGCAAACCAAACACAAGAAAAATAAATACATTGGTTTCCCACCATTTTTTATGTGTGAACCAAAGCAAAACAATCTATTTCTTGGAAAAGTTTGGAAAACTCAAAACTTGTGTTTCTTTACATGGAATTGCATTTCTCTATATCAAGGAAACGAACCAAACAGCCCCTTATAAGAAAGTTTCGCATTTATAAAAAATTTGGTAATAATGGGGAACAACAAATTTGCCAGGTTGGCATCACTAAAGTTTCGCATTAAATACAGGTTGAAATTTATATTATGCCATTTAACTGCCAGGTTGTCATTTATAAAAAAGTTTCACATTTATAAAAAACCGAGTAATAAAGGGGGAACAACGAATTTGTCAGGTTGACATCACTAACGTTTCACATTAAATACAGGTTGAAATTTGTATTTTGTCATTTAATTGCCATGTTGTCATTTATAATAAAGTTTCGTATTTATAAAAAGAAAAATTCTTTAAGGACCCAAAATATGGGACCAATAAAGGGGACAAGTGAGGTGTCCTCCTCTTATTGGATAATGAGTTGGTCATCATTAATGATGGCCAACTCATTATCCAATAGGAGGGGGACACCTCACTTGTCCTCTTTATTGGTCCCATATTTTGGGTCCCTGTAGCAAAGCTCTTATAAAAAATCGGGTAATAAAGGGGTAATTACTGTTGAGATAAGTTACAGTTGCTGACATTTTTTTTTAAGAAATTAAATTTTGGTCAGATGTAAGAGGGATCATTCACATATAAAACTTGTGAATGGCTACAGAGACAATTTACATTAAAATGCCAAAGAATAAAAAATATTTGCATATAAAACACTGAAATTAAAGCCAAAGCTACGAGACATGTTTTTTCCTTTAACATGCATGATGCATCCGACATCCATTCATAAGCAAGTAAGGTAGCTTGTAGCTTGTATTTTTTCCTTTAACATGCATGATGCATCCGACATCCATTCATAAGCAAGTAAGGTAGCTTGTAGCTTGTACAGATAATCCTCAACTTTCTAAGTTATGCGACATCCATTCATAAGCAAGTAAGGTAGCTTGTAGCTTGTACAGATAATCCTCAACTTTCTAAGTTATGCAGCTATGCATATATTCTGCTTATCCAATGTTTACGCTTTTTGATGCCCAATTCTAAAGCTAAACATGGCTAGAAAGTGCCCAATACTTACTAATATATTAAACTGCTAATGTATAGAACTAATGCCACTCATTGACAAGTTAATGGTTCCATGACCCTCCATAGACCATGTAGACATTTGACTTTTACCATGATTGGAAAAATCATGCAACCAGGTGGCGATGTTGGATATGAGCATTAAGGGTAGAAAAATGTTACGAATGAAACTGAAGCAGGACATAGAGAAGAAAATTGGGTATGGAGCCCTAACAAAAACCGAAATTTAGAAAATGTATTACTTCTATCAATGTATTTTAGTTAGATTGTAATAAAGAAAGTAGTATACAGTATAAAGTTGTGAGGCGACATTCTGACATCCTCACTATCTATCTGGTACCAGTTCAAAAGATAAATCTACTTTTGTATTTACATAACACATACCATTAGGTTGTTATGAATCAAGCAATTATTTTAATATTTGCAAAACCAAAACAAAACATAATTTATAACAAATTTAAATAAAACGGAATTGACATAAAAACTTACCAGAGAGCTGATCTCCTGCCCCCTAAATAAAGAGGAAATTTGATTTCAGAAATTAGTCTATAATGTTTAACTTGAACAATATTTAAAACAAACATGATATATAGTATTACCTCAAAATATATTTTTCTGGCTCCTTCCAATTGTGATATCTCTGCATCAAATGTATTGACCAACGCCAACACCTCAGGAGTGCTGACAAAACGAACAAACCTACAAGTATAGTTTTTAGAAACACTTTTCAGGGAGTTTCTTAACTATAGAAAAGGAAAATTGCTTGGTGTATAAGGCTCCATTGAAGGATGGCCACAATCTGTATGAATAGTTGTCGCTGAGGAGACCACAAGGAAAAAAATAATGAAAAACAGGCTGCCAAGTTCAGTTCTCCTATAGAAAGAAGTGCATTCTTGATCATGGTATCCAGTTTCTTTCAACTAAGGAGCAAAGCTCCAAAACATACCTACACTAACTAAGGTGGTTGCTATAGGGATTACACATTGTTGAACATAATATGATCCACTAACCAATTGAAATCAGATTACATGATTAAGAAGAATTGAGATTATTGTAATATATGGTATTAACCTAACCATAACCAGGGGTCAAATATATCAAACCTTTCAAGGGTTCCCTTATTGAACCAAGTCCCAGCATTCTTCCGCTTCTCTGCTTCGAGCTTTATTGACTGAACTGCTTGATTCGCCTGCTCTTCAGCAACCTTCAAATGAGTCACGAAGGGCTTCAATAATGCAGAAGCAAGCTTCTCGGTCTTCCCGCCTCCCGAATAAGGGGTTGTTTGGTTAATGTATTTGGCATTGGGGGTTGGGCAGAAAACCTGCCAAAAGAGCACTTTTGGCAGGCTTTTCTGTCCAAAACACCTCTAAAAAGAGGCGTTTTGGACAGAAAACCTGTCAAAAGTGCTCTTTTGGCTGGCTTTCTGCCCAACCCCCAATGCCAAATACATCAACCAAACAGCCCCTAATAATGAGCGACGCTTAGATTCTCAAGAATAATACTGAGGGCAGAAAATGTTTTCGAAGAAGGAGAACAGAACAGTGTGGGAAATCGAATAGCGTTTTCTGAGATGAATGGGAAATTGAAGTTGGCGTTTTCAAGGGGTAATTAATCTTATCATAAGTTGCAGTTGTCATTAAATTTCTAAGTGGAAAAGATTATTTCTTGAACGAAGAGATTATTTCTTGTGAAGGTATCATCATTATTAGTTAGATAGTAATAGATTAAATAATAGGCATTAAATTCCAAGTGGCGGTTTCAATGAACGTATCATCATTATTAGATAGTAATAGATTAAATAATGGAAAATAGCAAGTGGCGGTTTTAATGGTAAGATAGCACCTGCCTTCATTCAATTGTGATTTGAATTTATCTATCAATTTGTTCTTGATTATTGCTTGAATTTTTGCTCCCTTTCATTAAAAAGGAGAATATCATTAAAACATGAATCAGTTAGCAACACCCATTGCATCATATGTTTGATAGGTAAAATACAATTTCACTAAATAAACATGAAAATGCATTGCAAAAATGCAAGAGGGCGGAAAAATTTCTCTGTTGCAATTAATGCCCTGTTTGGATGGAGGGTAGAGAGGGGGAGGGGAAGAGAAATGAGGCTTTCACCTTGTTTGGGAGTTTTTTTAAGGAGGGTAGAGAGGAGGAATGAAGGGGAAAGGAGGATAAAATTGTTTGGTTTTCTTTCCCCCTCGATTTGGGCGGTAGAGGAGGGTAAAGGAGGGTAAAGGGGTGTAATGACATTCTTACCCCCATCAAAACAAATAAAAGGCCTGAAGTGTTATTAGTATAAAGTCATTTATGTAAATTTACATATATTTACTTCCTTTCACCTTCATTCACCTTACTCAACTCCCAAACAACATATTACAATTCTCTTCCCTTCCCTTCTCTTCCCTTCCCTTCCCATTGTTTACCTTTCCTTCCCTTCCCTTAGTAAACTCCCAAACACACCATAAGAGAGCGCAAACTGTGGAAAAATATACGATTTACAATAACGTAAATAAAGTCAAATACAATTTCAAAGAGTAAAACCAAGCAGATCTCCTATCTATACTTAAGAGATCAGTGGACTTACTGTCTTTACCCAAATTGAGCTCCTGTAAAACAAAAGAAACAAAAATATCAGAAATAGAAATAAAAATATTTTTTTGATGAATTTAAAGGATAGAGAGACAACATACTACTAAAATGTGAGAATTAGCCTGCGCAAGCTGCCAGTTCTGCTGATTGGCCTTCTGTAAAGTTTATCTTAAGTTTTGCAACTCCGTCCCAGTTCTGCTGATCGACCTTAATCTCCGCGTTCTTCGTCGGATTCGAGCTCTTCATCTTGATCCACTGCTCCCAGAGGCGGTCATTGATGGAGAAAGACCTGAAATAAGGAGAGGTCTTTTAAAGAGGAGAAGAGAGGGTTAGGGTTTTGTCAAGATCGGAGGAAATTAGGGTTAGGGTTTAGGATTACCCGGAGAGGGGGTTGGTAGTAGGAGAGATAGGCGAGCTTGTTCGATGGTTGAAGGTTGAGAGAGAGAGAATTGACGGAGCATGAAGAGAGAGAGGAGGAAGAAGAAGACTCCATCACGACATGGTTAATTTGACGGAGACGAAGAGGCGGAGGGTTTTTCTCTAGGGGGGTGTTTGCTTTGTTTGTTTTTTTTGGATATAGGGTGGATTTCAAATTTTGGGATGTAAAAAGTGCTCTTTTTGAGTTTTGGGATTCCATAAACTTTGTTTGTTTCAAAATTAAT